AAAAAAAAAAAAAAAAAAAAAAAAAAAAAAAAATGGTGATTTTCAATAATGTCTTTTTATCTCAAACCTATACCAAATTAAATATAGGCCAGGAGGATTGCTTGTGTGGCACCACATTCTCTTCTCCTAGGTTGGGTAACCTAAACACTGGAGCAGAATTGAGTTTACAGACCACAAACATCCAGAAGGCAGACAGCTGGCAACTCCCTGGGTTGGCAGACAGACAGCATAAGGGTCAGCTGCAGAAGCAGCTGCTCATCCAGCTTTCTGGCTGCAAGATCAGTGCTGGGCACTGTCCAGACTTAAGAAAAAGCTCTAGGTAATATGAAGTCTTAAACAGAAGCTTGTTTGGCTCATTGCACTCAAAAACCAATCTTCCTTGGAAAAATGGCATTGCTTGACGTTCACCATACATATAAATTAATTTTCCCATGACATGTCATGTGAACCACTGTCCTTCTTTAGAAAAACTAAGATAATGTTACATTATTTCTATGTTTTTTGCCTCTGGGTTTTCTTTGCTTTCTGGGTGATTTTTCAAAACAAGTGATAAATTTTACATGGACTGAAGACACTTTGTTTATATAGCTACTTATTTTTACCAAACTGAGGGTAGTAATTATGCCAAATTCTGCGGTGGTTTGAATATTTGGATAAACATATCCTGCAGGTTGGATTCATCTTAGTAAAAGCAGTTTTATTTAGCCCACTGTGAAATGAAGAGCTCTCTCTTGGGTGTCAACAAATATCCCTGTCTTGTGCCAAGCATAACTACAGGGATCCTTTGGAAGTCTTTATCACTGGTGGTTTCCGCTGGGACTACAGTACATGGAGTGTGTGACATCTGATATCTTCTTGCAGTTTCTAGAGTTGACATCTACTCAAGAGATTCCTCATAGTCTTGAAGATGTCCCATGTCCTATTCCTTTGTTTGTTGTGCTGTCTATGCAACCTAACAAGCTACATTTTTTCATTCCTAGCTGTCCAGCTTCTAACATGTTATCATTGCTTTTTGTCAATACCTGTGTTTATTCTCCAAATACTATATCTGATAACTTCTAAAACAACAGAAATCTAAACTGTTTCTAGGCAGAGGGTAGTCTTCTTACTATGTTGCTTTCAAAGTCTCTTCTATGCATTTTTTTCACCACATCTTGCTGGTGAGGAATACCAGGTAGAGGTTTTTACTTAACAGTGGCTAACCCTTTCTCACATCTATCAGGTTATTTTGATCTTCAACATTAGCGTTCAACTGATATGGACTTTTCTTGATATTTATCTTCATTTTCCATTCCATACATTCAGCTCTGTTCAAAGCTCTCAGAAGCCTAGTCTTTATTTTCCCCCTTTTCCTCTTTCAAGAGTTCAGAAACTGTTAAGAAAAGTTTTCAAGGGAACAATGTTTCCTTGCTTAAATCAATGTTTAACTTTTTCTTTTTACTCTGCATTGCTCTGTTCTCTCCAGTGCTGAGGGCATGTCAGTGCTAGAGAAAATATGCCCCAAAGTTAAGAAATGCCAAGTTTTCTTTGATTCTGTTACATTACAAACAGAAGTTTAATATGGTAAATCTAAAAAAAATAAATATATAAACACAAAATTATATGAGAGCTTGCCTTGGCATCTTCTTCCTGTGGAAGACAATACAAATCCTTCAGGGCACAGGCATTTGAAACTGCCTGGAGTATTGCTACATGTGCCCAAAGCGCAAATTTCTGGCTCTTCTACACATTCATCAATGTCTGCAAGAAGGTAACACAATAGTTTAGTAATTTTAAAAGGCTGTACTGGCAGCTGTAAAATACAAAATATAAAATAAAGTACCCTACATCATAACTGAGGCAGAACAGATTGTTACTGAAG